CTTAGTAATTATGTAACGATCGATTGTTGTATAAACTGTATTGCACTGAGTAATTATGTATCGATCGATTGTTGTATACACTGTATGAACTGAGTAATTATGTAACAATCGATTGTTGTATGCACTGTATTGCACTGAGTAATTATGTAATGTTCGATTGTTGTATACACTGTATTGCACTGCGTAATTATGTAACGATCGATTTGTGTTGACACTGTATTGCACTGAGTAATTATGTAACGATCGATTGTTGTATACACTGTATTGCACTGAGTAATTATGTAACGATCGATTGTTGTATACACTGTATTGCACTGAGTAATTATATAACGATCGATGTGTGTAGATATTGTATTGTACTGGACAATTATCTAATGATCGAGAGTTGTATGTACTGTATTATGGGTAATATAAGGGTTAATATGACGTATATATTGCAGTATTGCGCTGCACATATCAGTGTAATAGACAAAACTAATTTGATGTTAATTACATAATGATATCGGCTCGATAGATACTTACATGTTCAACATTTGTATTCGCAGTTCTTCTACTATAGCACTCATAATATGATTAATATTCGAAATACGATTGTATTTCAAGATTCTATAAACAAAAGCAAAGAAATAGAAATAATATGATGTGATCATGATCTACTAGGCTGCATTGTGCTACTACTAAACTGCACTGTGCTACTACTAGGCTGCATTGTGCTACTACTAGGCTGCACTGTGCTACAACCAGGCTGCATAGTGCTACTACTTGGCTGCACTGTGCTACCGCTAAACTGCACTGTGCTACTGCTAGGCTGTTCTGTGCTACTACTTAACTGCACTGTGCTACTACTCAACTGCACTGTGCTACTACTAGGCTGCATTGTGTTACTACAGGCTGCATTGTGCTACTTCTAGGCTGCATTGTGCTCCCATCAAACTGCATTGTGCTACTACTAGCCTGTACTGTGCTACTACTAGGCTGCACTGTGATACTACTAAACTGCACTATGCTACTGCTAGGCTGCAATGTGCCTAACTAGACTGCACTGTGCTACTATTAGGCTGCACTGTGCTATTACTAGGCTGCATTGTGACATTATTAGGCTGCTCTGTGCCACTACTAAACTGCACTGTGCTACTGTTAAACTGCACTGTGCTACTACTAAACTGCACTGTGCTACTACTAGGCTGCATTGTGTTACTACAGGCTGCATTGTGCTACTATTAGGCTGCATTGTGCTACTGCTAGGCTACATTGTGCTACTATTAAACTGCACTGTGCTACTACTAGCCTGCCCTCTGCTACTACTAGGCTGCACTGTGCTACTACTAAACTGCACTGTGCTAGTGATAGGCTGCACTGTGCTACTATTAGGTTGCATTGTGCTACTACTAGGCTGCACTGTGATATTATTAGGCTGCTCTGTGCCACTACTAAACTGCACTGTGCTACTGCTAAACTGCACTGTGCTACTACTAGCCTGCCCTCTGCTACTACTAGGCTGCACTGTGCTACTACTAAACTGCACTGTGCTAGTGATAGGCTGCACTGTGCTACTATTAGGTTGCATTGTGCTACTACTAGGCTGCACTGTGATATTATTAGGCTGCTCTGTGCCACTACTAAACTGCACTGTGCTACTGCTAAACTGCACTGTGCTACTACTAGGATGCACTGTGCTATTATTAGGCTGCTTTATGCCACTACTAAACTGCACTGTGCTACTGCTAAACTGCACTGTGCTACTACTAGGCTGCACTGTGCTACTACTACGCTGCACTGTGCTACTACTAGGCTGCACTGGGCAATTACTAGGCTGCACTGCACTACTACTAAACAGCACTGTTCTACTACTAGACTGCACTGTGCTCTTAGTAGGCTGCATTGTGTTACGACAAAACTGCACCGTGCTAATACTAGGCTGCACTCTGCTACTACTAGACTGCATTGTGTTACTACAGGCTGCATTGTGTTACTACAGGCTGCATTGTGTTACTATTAGGCTGCACTGTGCTATTATTGGGCAGCTCTGTGCCACTACTAGGCTGCACTGTGCTACTACTAGGCTGCACTCTGCTACTACGAAGCTGCATTGTGTTACTACAAGCTGCATTGTACTACTACTAGGCTGCAATGTGTTACTACTAGGCTGCACTTTGCTACAACCAGGCTGCATTGTGCTACTACTACGTTGCAATGTGTTACTACTAGGCTGCACTTCGCTACAACCAGGCTGCATTGTGCTACTACTAG